ACCAGTAGCCAGATGTTTCTGTTCTTCTCTTGGTTTGTTGTACTTCATGTCAGATGGACTTCAAAATGACATAGTCGCTTTCTGTGGTACTGAAACGTGTTAGCTCTGCTGTTACGGGCATGTCCATGTTGTAAAGTTAAATTATCATGAGCTTTATTATTTGGGCCTGGTCATTAGCCTGGCCCAAATAGGCTAATGACCTATTGGGTCATTAGCTAATGACCCCCTGGGGGTCATTAGCCCCACCCCCAGGGGTGGGGCTAATGACCGGGGCTTGTTGGGGCTAATGACAAGCCCAGGGGCTAATGACGGCTTGTTGCCGTCTTGTTGACGCAGTAGTGGAACAAGATCCACGCCATCTTGTTCCGCTACCACGTTTGCCTGAGGAGAGGAGGCAGCAGTATGGCGTCTTGTCTGGAGCTTATTATAAAAAGGTAAATTCTATGATAAAATGATGTTTTTTACTTTTTTTATGGAGGCATTATTTTTCCGTTTACGCAAGAGTATCGATTCATATACATAGTTCGATTAACGTACGTTTATTTGTTTGGATATCACGGTATGTTTATTATCTTAACCGAACATTGAAACTGTCAGGAAAATCTGGAGGCCATCTGAGTTAACGTTATTTAGCTGCGGGGTCGTTTTCTTTAAATTTTTGGCTGTAGACTGCAAAATAGGGGAATGGCTGTGCTGGACCATTGGCTTGATCTATGCCACAGGTGTCAAACTCCAGTCCCGGAGGAACACTGCCCTGCAACATTTAGATGTGCCGCTGCTGCACCACACCTGAATACAATAATTAGGTGATTAGCAGGACTCTGGAGAACATAGCTACACAATGAGGAGGCAATTAAGCCATTTGACTCTGGTGTTTTGTACCTGTGGCACATCTAAAAACTGCCAAAATGTTTTTTTCTTTGTCAGTGTGTCATGTTGGTGACTGAAGCCTGTTATGATGACTTCAACACATTTCTTCAGACAGGTTGGCACGACTTTTAATGCTGTCCAAAAATGTTTCTATAAGCTGACTAATTTCTTTAGTAATTATTTCTGACTTTTTTATGCTTTATCTTGTAAACCAGGTGGGCAGAGTAATGTGAATAAATATGACGGTGACACACACAGGTGAGTCTGATTAGTTTTGCTCACACTACTTTTTAAAATATTTATTTATTATCTTAATGTTTCTGCTATATTTCTTGTTTTTCCTTCCAGGCTGGAAGTCTTCCTCCTCCACATTGGCAAAAACAAGAGCAGCACCAAAGACACTTCACCATCAGTGATCACAAGACCATCCATGGCCGCTTCCAGTGAACTTTCAAAGCTTCACCTTCAGTGCAAAGTACCATGAATCAATGACCTTTGTTGTATATTGCTGTCAGTGCTGTTTGATGTTTTGAAATAAAAGTAGATTACATACTGCAACTGGTGCTGGTGTTTTTGTAGCATCTAATGTGGCATCTAATGTCTTTTAAAATGAATTTGGGGATTATTGATGACCAGTAGTTTCTGGGGGGGGAAAAAAGGTTTTAATTGCTGTAGTGGCTTTTATTTGGTAGTAAATTGACAAAAAAAGTGAGTAATGAGAGAAGGGGAAGACTGAGAAGTGAACCCACAACAGCCGCATTGAAAACTAGAGCCTTCATTGTGGGTTGTGCTTAACCCCTGCACCACCACAGCACACCCTGCCAGTAGTATGTCAAAACTCAGAGTTCTGTGCTAATATATACTTTACGCAATTCTGTGTTAGATTAACATGTTCATAGTGTTAACTTTTGACAATGTACACTAGTGTTGGGTAGATTAACACTGAAGTATGTTTGATTTCAACTACTGTGAGTGTTGATTCAACTCTATCACAAATAACACTTTCAAAAGTGTAACTTCAACACCATCCAGAGTGGACCAATATAGACACTTTCAAAGTGTTGAATTTAACTCTGTAGGAGTTGATGGAACACTTCCAAATTTGCTGTGTATTTCTTCAAGACCAAATAGAGCTCAACAAAGTTATTTAAAAAAAAAAAGTTTTAACAGAATAAGAGCAAGATTTTAAGCTGAATCTCAAGTTCTTCTGGAGATACTGGCCAGCTGCCGTCATTTCCAAACAGCATCAAGGAGCTCTGAAACACAGAGGTTAAGAAAGGCCTTAGGCCGTAACAGTACATTTTTTTAAAAAAATCTGTCTGGATACACTCTACTTCCTTAATGATGCTGCATAATGGGCCATGTTCACACATAAACATTCACTTACAGATAACAGCACGTAAACATGTCAATACGCAGAGCAGGTTAAAACAGCCTTTGTGACCTATAAACTACAGACTTTCTATTGTTGCCATGGCAGCGCCACATTTTCAGTGAGTGGGTATCCAGATTATTATGGTCTGTGTTTCCAGCCATGTGCTGATGACAGATGGAACAAGTTGCTATGGTAACACTAAGTATAGATGCAGAAGAGGACAAGCTGCTAAAGTCATTTTCCTCTTAGTGAGGTCACAACTCTGAAGAGAAAAATCAAACTACTCACATGTAACATTATTATTCTGAACTGAATTCTACCCATTCACTTCTAAAGTAAATGAACTGACATCCTGAATGATGTTCTTTACCTGCATGGAGGTGTTTTTCATCTTAAATTAGAAACACGGATGCACGAAAGTGTCCCAAACATTGCGAGAAATCAAAATCAGAGGCGCAACACAGAATATATGATTAAGCAACTTTTCTTTAAGCCTGAGCCATTGTTTTGCATTATTTAAAATGAACTGGCAAAGGAATACAGCCTTTAACTCTAATCTTACATGGCTTCAAAACTATTTTCTTAGAATGTCATTTCTAGCAGCCATTTGAACAACAATGATCTGCTGATCTGATTTGATGAAGAAATTGTCTTTACTTAAAGTTGGAATTTGGGGTATAGCAAAATTCACAAATACATATTCTCTCATTCTAATCATCTCTCTTCCTCATGACTTGGTAGAGACCTTCTCTATTGCTGAAATTAACTGTTTATTTTTCAGATTTGTTTTGGGAATTTAACCAACACCTGGTTATTTATTTAATGACTCCAAATAAAATAAAATAAAAACTATTTTAATTACATATACTTAAGTTTCAGAGGGGCTCCTTGTTTTCCATGAAGGAGGTATTCTTATCACTTCACTACAATAATTCCAAACCAGACATAAAAAAAAACATTTTTAAAAATCCCTTCTAAGAAATGCACCAAATGTATATTTGTGAGTGAACATTAAAAGTAAATATTAAAAGGTTTCAGTTTCACACAAATACAAAGGCGGTAGGTAGCATAAATGTCCGGCTGTTGAAGTGAATTTTTCAGTGTCACTATCAAGCTAATTTTCTATTAGCAGCTTCACAAATCTTTACGATAAACATTAAATTACCATTGAACATGCGAATATACATGTATCTTTGCTTTTTTCTTTTCTCTTTATTTTATCTGTCCCTGAAGGATAAATCTTTTTTGGGACATTGTTTTGCTAATTTATCTTCCATCGGAGCTTTGGAGGTTTAGATGAGCACAGCTCATTGCATGGCAGCTCATATTACCGATGAAGCGTGACCTACTGCGGCCACCAGGGGTCCACCAAGGGTGTTACATAAGAGCGTGTCGGAAATTCGGGACCAGCTCATAACACGAGTACACAAGCCAAGAAAACCATGCTTTTGATTATGCCGTAAGGTAAGAACCTTCTTCGTGCATCATTCTCAAAATACCACAAAGCGTCTCTAATTCTGTCCCCGCACACAGAAAAGGCACAGAAGTCATTACCACGGTTTGTCCTCACCAACTTCATGTGCTTACTGGGTTTCTGTATCTACCTACCAGCAGCTTCCAGCAAAGCAGCCAAAACGAGATCATTTCCAGACGGTCACGGCGCGCGCATTCATTTCTCCCTCTTCCCAACGGCAACGCGAGTAGCCAGACGGACCCTTGCTGGCGCGAGGTGGAGTGGAACGCATATGAAACTCACGGCCACGGCGCGTGTTTATGCGAGATGAAGCTAGGTAGAGAGAGAACAGAGAGAGAGAGGACGTATCGACGTATATGCTATTCCACTGCAGGTGAATTAGAGCAGAAAAGATAAAGCTCTATTGACAGGCTATTGTGTCTCTCTCTGTCCTCGTTTTCTCTCTCACCGACGCAATACATCCCGCATTACCACCCTCCAATTGACCTTTTTCGACAAGTAGGATGTAGAAATAAAACATTTTAGCCCTCCCTCAACTATGATTTATGTTACATGGAAGGCTGTAGGAACCTCTAAAGTCAAGAAAAACAGAAATATAACCTTGGCTTAAAAAAATTGGTATATCAAAGCAATAGACCAACAAATACAAAATTAAAATTACATTTGTTGGCATAAAGAACTTATGTGATCAAAGCTTTATCAATTATATTTGCTACAGATTTTTGTTGTATTTTTGCAACTTCCTTTTGTCTGCTTCACTTTTTCCCTATACTTGAGTTGCTCCCTTACTTACTCTTCTATACATTTTTTTTGTAAATAAATAAATTTTTCCAAAAGTTACTTATTTACAGGTAACTTTCTCCATTTTCCTCAGTATTTTATTTTTTAGTTGGCTCTAGTGGACTTTATTTGAAAGGCCACTAGAGCCTTTCAAATAAGGCTCTAGTTGCCTTTATTTGAAAGTAGTTTGACAGGAAAGAGGGTTATAAGAGAGGGGGAAGACATGCAGCAAATGTTGCCAGGCTAGGAATCAAACCTGCGACCACTGCCACAAGGACCAAGGCCTCAATACATGGGTTGTGTTTTGCCCCTGTGCCACCACAGCACCCCTTTTCCTCTGTATTTTCACCCTACTTTTTTCTCTGGCCTCTTTCTGTTCCCACGTTATATTTCTGTGATCTCATCTCTACACTGTAAAAAAAAAAAAATCGTCTCTAATCGTCTATACGAGCAGCTGTGGTTCCCAGAATTTTACTGTATAAATATGGTAAAGTCCTGGCAACCACAACTCCCGGTATTTTACCATATTTAATAAAATATGGAAATACTGTATTTAGTAAAAATACGGTAAATTACCACGAGCTATGGTTGCCACACGATAAAAAAAAAAAAAACTGCTCTGATTTAAGGTAAAATACTGGCAGCTGTGATTGTCAGAACTTTACTGTCTTTATATGGTAAAATTCTGCCAATAAAAACTGCCAGTATTTTACCACATTTGCTAAAATACAATAAAATTGCAAATATGGTAAAAGGCCAGTATTTTACCATATTTGCAAAAATAACGTAAAATACTGGCAAACAAAACTGCTATTATTTTACAGTATTGGCTGAAATACCGTAAAATTGTGGCAACCACAGCTGCCGGTATTTTACTGTATTTCCTAAAATGTGGTTTTATCATAGCAAAAATGGCCGTACTGTGTGAGGTATTATGGTATAATATTTTGGCATCTGTCACTTTAACAGTTCAGAACTGTAAACTTTTTATGGCAACTTACTATAAAAAACCTCCAACACGTATACCGTAAACATTAGTCTACATAAGTGAAAAGCACAGCAGGATTGGGTGAAACATTATGACATTTTGTTGTAAAAATCAACATTATGGTAAATTACTGGTTGCCGTTAACGTTGACAGCCCCAATACATATATGTGCGAGAGAAAATAAAAAAAACAGCTGAGGCACCCTACCCTCAAACAACTTATGCAACAAGACCAGAATATATCCATCTGCATATTCTGGGTGAAAAATATTATCAACTGAACTAAAAAGCACTTTTGTTGCACATAATACTAGCTGAGATATAACCAAAATTAGCTTTATCAAACAATGTTGCCATCCGTTTACCTCTAGATTCCACAGATTCAAGCCAAGTTGTGCCAATCTCACTTTGATAGATCTTTATCAAGTCCAAAATTTGGTGGTCATGGCCTAATTTCCACAGTGCCCTATGGAAATGTTTTAAAATATTTACCAACAATTATGAAACTTGGTACACGTTTATCTTAACAAGACCTACAACAAAGTCTCTTGGAACCATGGTCTAAACCAGGGGTCCCCAAACTACGGCCCTCGGGCCGGATCCGGCCCACCTCCACATTTGGTCCGGCCCCCTGAACAATACCAGAAAGCATTCAGATTTTTTTTTTCATTTACCGTATTTTCCGGACTATAAACCATTTATATGTGGATTTTTCTTCAACCACCAGGGGGCTCTTTAGCAGGAAGTGAATCATTGGAAGTCTCGGGTTACTTGCGTGCCAACATTGAGCCCACAAGCAGCAAAATGAGTAAGAAATGGATCAGAAATGGATCAAACTTTGTAAAGTTTCTTTGCAAAGGGGAAAAGGCCCAGAGAAGAGACAGGAGAATGGATTTATCCCGGACCGGTAGGTGAGTCCCACATTACAAGCCGCTCTGTGTAACATGCGGCGACCGGCTGCTAATGAGGCAATGAAGCTTCAAGCTGCTTTGCCACTAGAGACCAAGCAGGCTGTGGATATAAGCAACACTTCGGGTGTCATTGTCTCCCATCACTCCCAGATGGGACCGTCTCGTTGCAGAGAAACAAGCTCAGGGCTCCCGTTAGTCTTTATCGTGAGTTAAAATTTTCACGAAAGTAAAATGCTCGTTTTTGTGGCGCATCTGTATCTTATTTTGAAGGGATATATAAGTGTTACCATAGCGACCAGAGTCAGAGCGTTTGGGCAGTGGTCGAGATGAGATGAGATGAGCTTGTGAGTCTTAAGTCTGGTTTAGACGGCAAGATTTAAGGATTGTCAGCCTATTCTCCAAACCTTTGTGACCACAGAGCTGATAAAAGTACAACAGGTTCGATCGGTTCGTGTCTCCAAGGCAGGAGCAACACGAACCGATTCCAGAGGATAATCCAGTAAAAACCCCCAACATAGCGGGAATTTAGAATAACCAAACACGGATGACGATGTAGAAGCAATAGTGATAGTTTGTGGAGTCATTTTAAGAGATAAAAGAAACAAAAAGAAAAGGCGGTGGATAAAAGACAGCGGGAGCAGCCGCTCCATTTGGAGGCGACTATGTTTTTTTCATAGTTAACATTTTTAACTGAATAAACATAAACATATATAATAATGACCTTTATATATAATAATAAACATTTCCACATATCATCTCCGATATGTCAGCTGTTTGGGATTCCCCTCTGTTCTGATGTCACTGCACTTTCTGATTGGCTACTGTCACATTCAGCAGGTTGTATTCTCGTTCCAAAGTCAGGGAAAACCCCACTGGCTGCGATAAAAGGGCCAAGACAACCCAAATAGGGCATATTCAGGATTTAGTGGAAACACCAATATGCAGAAGCCTTATCTGACTGTTCATTCCCCACCCCCGGGCCGCAACAAAATGTCCAAGTCTTGACTGGTCCGCGGTAATAAAAAGGTTGGGGACAACTGATTTAGCACATGCTAGTACCAGACACACGAAGGTTCAGCACTTTTACTGTTACAGTTACCATTAGGAAACTACCGTAATAAGTTCTGTTAAATCTAAACTTGGCAACTTTTTCTTTATCAACCCTAATAAAAGTGATGTTCAATTGACCTGTTATGACTCAAATTTTGGGTGTCCGCCCCCCTCTGCTGCTGCTGCATTGTTGTGGAAAACCTGGAGCGGCAGAGATATCTGCGGCTTATATGTGAATGTTTACTGGTTTACTTAAAAAAAAAAAATAAAAATAAAAAATTGGGGTTGTGGTTTATAGTCCGGTGCGGCTCATAGTTCGGAAAATACGGACTATAATCCTTACTGGACTTTTTTCTGTGAAGAACCCAGAGAATGTTATTTGATTGTACTTTTTAGAAAACAATATATTTTTACATTTAGGCACTCCTGCAAACGTCACTTTTTCTGTTACAAACTGACTCCGGCCCCCCACCAGAGAAAGGAAAAGTTATGTGGCCCTCACAGGAAAAAGTTTGGGAACCCCTGGTCTAAACCCAACAAGCTATTTCGGATCAAAGCCACACAGTAAATCCCAAATGTCAAATAAGCAGTTTCAGAGCATGTGAACTCTGTAAGAGTCAATTCAACAACAGTGAGCGTAAAATATGCAGTGTTGGTGTAAAAATTCAGAGCTAAAATAGATTTTTTAAAATTTACTCGTTAGACTGTAACTTGTCAAGTGTTAAATAAAATGCACTCTTTCAGAGATGAAGCCTTGGCGTAAATTCAAACTGGAAGACTCTCTAGTCTCACCTGGATCATCTAGGGCAGTGTTTTTCAACCACTGTTCCGCGGCACACTAGTGGAATAATTTCCACTAGTGTACAGTACCATAGGTGAAATTATTCAATTTCACCTATGGTACTGTACTTTCCGGACTATAAGCTGCTACTTTTTTCCTAAACTTTGAACCATGCGGATTGTAGCCCTGTGTGGCTTTTCTGTGTAATTTTCTTCAACCACCAGGGGGCTCTCTAGCAGGAAGTCAATCATTAGAAGTCAAAATTGTAGATCAAAGAAGAACGCGTTAATTTTCATTCAGAACAACCACATGATGCTAGCAGCAGTTACGACGGAGATCATAC